AAAATAAAATAAAATAAAATAAAATAGAATATTTTTATTGTTTTATATAAGGGGGCTTTCGGGGGGAGGGGGGGGGGGTTAAAAAAAAAACACGGGTGGGATTTAAACTTACGTTTTTATACAAAAAGATACGTATTTTGACTTTTTTCTCGAAAGTGGGGAATCTGGTAAGACCCGTTGTTTTGGGAAGATGCACCCAATAAAAACGCTCCAGAGCTGCGCACGGACGAACTTCCTATCTCGAAAAATGGCCAGGCAAAAAGATCGTCTGACAATATCCCTCGTAAACTCGGGCACTAAGACAAGCGGGGTCTTATCTTCCCCAAACTTCTCCGTTCGGAGCTTTTCCATTTATGCTTCTTCCATCAATCATCAATCATCAATCTTTCTTAGAACCCCCAACAACCCCCATCTCGAAGACCCCTCACAATTAACTACTACTGCTACTACTACTACTACTTAATAGTAATAGCAATATAATAAGTTCGCCATCGTTGCTTGAGGGGTTTCCACCATAACGCCCACCACCCTTCTTTCCAATGCTGCTTACAGCCTGTAGCAGGATATTATGTAGAGCTGCAGAATCCGTGCCACCCACGGGCATGGTAGTATTGACATATTAACATATTAACAATCAATAAAATGGGAGTTGGACCCTGCCACCTGACAGCGAACATGTTTGCCAAGGCTCAAGCGCACACAAAGTCTTGGACAAGAGTGCCATAAAAGTCACCCTTCCAACGACAATGTCTAGCATGAAGGTACCAGCCGAGAACATGACTCGTTGTCCGTCGGTGCTATTTCTACCTCCGTACTCAGCCGCATCTGGGCACTCGATAGTCTATCAACTAGATAGAAAATTAACGATTACCGATGATTCGTATAGTCGAAACTGGGTTCAAGCAGCTATGTCTTCTGCCGAAGATTGCGGAGTAAGATCTGTGGAAGAGAACTAGGGCCAAGACGTTTAGGACCAACCGTTTCGCGGGGTAGCGTCCGTCAGCGACCAGGCATCGCCAACCCTAGGACGTTGCTTCTTGCCAAGTAGAGTTGAATATCCGTCTAGGCGAGGCCGGGGTGTTTAATAACGACGCAATCAAATCCTGTCGCTGATTTGCCGAAAGTGCATATCCAGGTTCTGGACCCTCTTCTGTCCTCCAGGCCACTGGGAAGCACCCCAGACCGAATGGATGGATGGGTGGATTGTTCGGACTTAATCCTAAGAAGAAATCCATTATAAACAAGTTTGAAAGTCCAGGGGACCTGCTTGCCCTTGTCTTCTCTGCGTTCTCGCCGTTTTTTTCTGCGTCACTCACCGACTTCGCTCAACTGCTCATACAGTTAGTCAGTCACCATGGCAGCGATACGGACCATAGACGAGAAAGGCGATATCGACCAGCCTGAGGCGCTCGCGCTCGAAACTAAGAGCCAAGGCTCCTCTGAGGCACCTGGCTGGACCACGGAGGAAGAAACCGTTGTTCGCAGGAAGCTGGACTGGCAGCTAGTGCCAACCGTCACTCTTTTATACCTCCTTTGCTTTCTTGATCGGTACGGCGCTATTAGAACTACTAGGACTATAACGGATGCTAATTAGAGGAATAGAATAAACATCGGAAATGCCCGTATCCAGGGAATGCAAGAGGATCTGAACCTTGTCGGATACCGATTCAACATCGCAACGAGCATCTTCTACATCGTCTACTTGACGGTCGAGGTGCCGTCTAACATCATCTTAAAACGTGTCGGTCCGCGATTCTACCTTCCTGGACTGGTTGTTGGGTTCGGCGCTGTGTCCGTAGCGACAGCTTTCGTGAGGACGTACGAGCAGTTATGCGCCGTTCGCGCGTTGTTGGGTATCTTCGAAGGTGGAACCATGCCCGGGTTGGCCTTCTTCCTCAGTTCCTTCTATAAGAGGGAAGAACTGTACTTCAGAATTGGAATTTACGTCTCGGCCGCATCGCTTGCTGGCGCATTCGGTGGACTGCTGGCCGCAGGATTCTCGCAGATCCCCGACTGGGGAATTGCTAGCTCAAGGTTGCACACGTGGCGCAATATCTTCTTCTTCGAGGGTATCATCACCATTCTCTTCGCCGCGTTTGCTCCTATCATCTTGCCACAGAGCCCCGAGACGTCGAGGGTCCTTACAGACCGCGAGAGGTGGATCGCCTCCGAACGACTTCGCCTCGAGCACAAAGCTAGTCCTAACGAGAAAGTACAGACGCGCCATGTTAAGCGCGCGCTGCTTAACATCAATAACTACATCTGCGCCGCGGGTTTCTTCTCTATCAACGTTACTGTTCAGGGTCTTTCCGTCTTTATGCCTACTATTCTTAGGGAGTTGGGATGGGAGTCGCTGACTGCGCAGTACTACACTGTTCCCGTTTACGTTGCCGCCTCGCTAATCGCTATCGGCGTCGGTTTCATCAGCGATAAGACGAGGATGCGCGGCATATATCTTGCTGTGTTCACGTTCCTCGGTATTACGGGCTTCGCGATGCTCCGGTGGGGCTCGGGCAACCACCTCAAGTACGCCGCTGTCTACCTCTGTGCTGTCGGCGCATTCCCCGGCGGGCCCGGGTTCCTATCTTGGGGTCTGAACAACTCGGCTGGCCCGGCAGTGCGAGCCGTATCTAGTAGCTGGATTGTCACGTTGGGTACCATGGGTGGTATCTTGGCTGTCTGGGCTTACCTCCCCAACGACGGACCCTCATTCCCCATCGGCCACACAATCAATCTCGTTGCGCAAATCTTCGCCCTGTTCCTCTCAACCGGTGGCATCGCCTACTGCGTGTGGGAGAATCGCGTACGGGCCCGCGGTGGCCGGGACAGTCGGCTCGTGGGCTTGACGGAAGACGAGAAGGCGGACTTAGGATACAGACACCCCGATTTCCGCTACATCGCGTAATCACTAGCACACGGGTAGTTCTAGGCGCTTTTGGTATTGTTAGCACTTGTTATGACACGTCACTACGCTTTTTTCGAATATGCATGTTGCGCGCAACTGGTAGACTACCTAAGGTTTCTTAGAGAACTGTGGCGCTACAGGCAGAGGATGTATTGGATGGGATTGGATACGATCGTCGTTGTAGAATTATATTTAACCTAGAATAGACGACGCCATAGTACGGAACTTGAACGTAACGCAATATAACTACATAAATACGCGTAAAGCAATAGGATCTTCTGATAGTGTATTGCTTCTCAGTGGATTACTAGTAGCTTTACCTTTTAGGTACTCTGCCATGGATGAACGATACATATGATAAACGCCGTCACGATTCTATGGTAAAGTTACTTAATTCCTTTACACGACACAACATCCTCTCCCCCTTTTGCCACCCCTCCCCTCGCTTCGTCCGAAACGAGATGCGCGGAGTAGTGGCGTTCCGGCGCGTATGCAAGCAATATATGTCACTATGTGCGTAAGTGCGCCCACCATGCGTCTATCGCGCCTAATTGCGAGTTAATATCGACCGCGCCTAGTTTGTATGTATGTCCGAGACACATGGTATGCGGGCTATTTGTGGGTTTGTACATGTCGTTATGTATTTTTTGAGGGTGGTGGATAGGTAGGTATGTACTGGGTCTTGTACCTAGGTAGATAGGTAGGTAGGTGGTGTGCTATGGCTGGGGACCGTGTATGTGAGTACCTAGGTTGGGTAGGTAGGTAAGGGGCCCTTGAGGTAAATGTTAAAGGGGGAAGTTGTTTTTAGGAAGTTTGTTTTGTATAGCAACTGAGGTAGGGACTTATTTCTATTTTTTGAGAGTTAGAGGTATAGAGGAAGTATGTGTCTGATCCGTGTAGGGGTAAGTAATAAATAGAGTGGCCAGGCTCTTGGTTTTACTTAGGATTGGTGAAGGGATACCTTAAGTACCTAAAGCATTTCACGTGCCTTTCTTTCCTTCTTGGAGAATAAGGTGGAGGTTATAGTATAGTCCTCTAAGTAGAGACCAAGTTAACTAATCTACCATGCAAATCTAACAATTGGCGATGATGGCGTGATTATATATGATGTTCCCTCTCACTAAAGACTGCTTCCCTATCTTGCTTTATGATAATGAAGAATATTGGGTTATACTTACTACACATATAATTTCACCATCTAGAGAGGCTTGCTATGAGGGATGGACATGAAAGGATATCTTCTGAGACGTAGAATATTTATATCTTTAACGGTCTTGATCGAAAACCCTAACTTATCATCCCTCAGCTAGAATATCGGGATGTGGGTGAATTTTGAACACTGTTAGAGAACCTGTAGAAAGTTATAGTTATCGAGACTACGAATAATACACGTCGTATCTTAAGAACCTAGCTATATAAGCCTAGCGATGTTGGATATACGAAATAAAGGGGACGATATATCTATACTGCAAGAAGCAATTATATTCTTTAGTATAGCCCCAGCCGAAAGAAAAATCCAGATAGCTCTATTACATCTCTCACATTGCTACCCAACTACATGCCCAAGCCATTATGCCTCAATCCACACCTTTGCTAGAGGGATATTTCCTTAATCTTATGACAGACAAGGACCAGGGAACCTCCAAATGGACAAGAATCCGATAAATATAACCCTTGTATTGTGAGTGATTATCTGTGGACACAGAACCACCCTGAGGTTGTCCACTTAGTTATTCCCCTTTCACTTGTATAGGATGTCGCATATTGGTGCTATCTATGTCACGAGGTGGAACGAAACAGTATGGAAACAACTTCGTTGTTCCGCAAGGAACTCTAAACTACCTATGAAGATCTATCGTCTATACATACTGAACAGTTCCTTTGTTCTAGATGTCTCATCTAGAATCCTGACAATCTAGGCAGTATGGTCAGTCACTGCAAGCCCTGCTATAGTAAGGTGATACAGAAATATAAGAGCGACCTATAGGCTCCTAGAGGATCAGCTTCGAAGACGGATTCTTTAGATTCTTTAGAATACGCCCACATTAGCTTTTGGCCTCCTGCGACTATGAAACGGGTTGGGGAGATCCACGAAGGAACTGAGATAGTAGTTGAAGAGGGCCGATATGAAAGAAGTGTAAGCAAACACTAGCAGGTCGTTATTCTGCTCAATCGTATCTCATACCTATCAAATACACCAGAACAGCCTTGTTGTCCCCTATCGCTCTTATTTATACACACTACTGCTAACCCTCCTATACCATCTTCTCACTACCTAGCCTTCTCCCGTAGAATATCCAAAACCCGCAACACTATCCTAGCAACTCCCCTGCCATCCTGCCAAGCATCGTCATGCGGCCCCGTAAGATCCCTCACAAGCAACACCTCAACACCATCCCCCTTCAACCTCTCCGCCATCCCATCCGTCTCCGGCATATCCACCAGCTCATCATCTACCGAGTGTCCCAACACAGCCAACCCGTCAGGGTACCAATCGCCATAGCTCCCCGGGCACTTCATCGGCGCCGCTTCATCCCACTTATCCTGCGGCCCGAATGCCCCTTCTAGGAACCCCGCATACCCGCCGCCGACCCGTACGTTCAAGCCCGTCATATCATAGATCCCCTCGACGCCGAACACAGCAGCGGGGAATTCTACCTTAACGTCTTCGATGCTAGACAATCCCGCTAATAGCTGGTACGCAAGACATGCGCCAGCCGAGTGTCCAACAAGCACGTACCTGCTCCCAAAGCCATACCGGTTCTGTAGGAACGCGAGCGCGGAGCGCACGTCATCGAGGTGGTCCGGATGCTTGGCGCCGCGGAAGCGATCCGGTGGCGTAGTTGCCGGGTCCTGCGGGAACTCCGGGTGTGGACTCAGGCGGTAATCGAGGGAGGCGAAGGCGGCGACAGGGATGCTACCGGTAGATCCACCACCGGTACCACTGCTCTCAAGGAAGCGCGTTACGACCGGCGCGAAGGTGTCGTGCGCTATGCGAGGGTCGCGCCATGCACCGCCGTGGATGAATCTAGCTGCGGGGAAAGCGGTATGTGTTAGTTGATGTGTGTTGTCTATATTTACATATACCTTGAGTGGTATGTAAGTGAGATTCACACGATCCAATATTTAGTTTGAGTCTTATCAGCAACGTCGAGGTCCCAGACCCCTAGCCGTTGCAGCTCGTGTGTGCCGTACTGGTGGACAGTATATTTGAGCGACGACGCCATGAGTAACCCTAAGTGCTGACTAGGTTAGGGGGTTACGCTAGATGCCAATGGTGAAAGGAAGCATTTGCGATAGGCATTGATGCTGGGATTATGGAGCATGAGGGGAATGCGTCCATCTCAATGCGCGCCCTTAGTACATATCAGTCTTTAAATGCATATGACTCTGCTTTGATGTTGCCATAATACTTTATCCGGTATACTTCCATCTCCCTTGAGAGTTGTCTGTGTTTGGTGTGATGGATTTAGGGGATTGCGTAACAAGAGATTCCGCAACCTTTGGTTTTCTTCTTCTCGCTCAATACTACTATTCGCGGGGATTCCTGCAAGGCATAATCTATGTAGAAGGAAGGAGGCTATGTTGTTCTCCAATTCGGATGCATACAAGTGCCGCTGTGATGTTACTATTCGAAACTGCAGCATCTGTTTTTCTATTCGCTAATTGCTCGAAGCGAATACTGTGAAACTATGGCCGAAAGAGCCTGACGACACGTTGCAGATCTTCTGTTCTTATGCGACGATTTATCTACGCGATTGGATTGTGTCTCTAGATGCCCAATGGGAGAGAAGGTTATAAACCGACGTCGATTCGATATGAATTACTCGTCGCTTCGACTTACTTAACTGGTCCGAATTGGCTATCTGTACTGGCCAATTATACGCGAGTGACGGTTTTTCTTAGAGGTAGTGTCGTTGTAACGGAGGATGACGTGAATGTTGATCCGGAGAATAGAGCCGATATCTTGCATACCTACTAGTCCACCATGTGCCTTTTACCCCTAACTATTTGGGTTTATCATGTGTTGCGGTGACCATTGCCGACAGACAGAGCCCGATGGCGGAGTATAGATGGGTGGTACGGGCGGACCTTATCCCTGAATAATGTTTTCCTCTCGACGGACCGAAATATCTAGAAATGAAGCCGACTTGTCGAGACCTCGGCCGTATTGGCCAAGAAAGGAAGGTTTTCATATTCTCGTGGGATAACACCAATGTCAAAGCCTACAGGTTAGCTCTTTTCATTGTAACATAATATCGAAATGCGATGCTGATAGGCCAAGCATCTAATGACTTGCAGGTTAGCGTAGCTTGCAAGATTTGTGATTCTATCGTGGCCGACTTCATGAATTCCGAGTCTACGGCGCAGACTAGCTACTACCGGTAAGGTGCTGTTATGGACCCGAGCCAGACTCTGGCCCTTCTGAGCTCAAGGCGTGACGAATCATCCGATTCGCTAGATGTGTAAGTGGGTTGTTCCAAGGAGACTTTTTTACATGCTGGCACCTTGCGAGCCTCTTACCGGATTCGAAATGTCATCGATGCTGGTTGGGACGAAGGATCCACCCCGTCACGACCTGGATACGATACCCTGAACAAGGCTGAGAGTTGTGAAACATGTATAAAAACGTATGAGGTGCGTGATTGGAGGAATTGGGACGATGAACTGTAATAGAAGCTTCCTAGAAACCCTTTCTCAGACGTCAACCCACCTTCTCTCTCCCTTATTATGATCTCTTATGCTATTTGGGGGTCACTAATCTTTCGCCGATAGACATCACTGCCTGCTACATGATCACTGCCTGTTACATGATAGCTGGATAGGTATCCCAAACGCGAAGTCCTCAAGGATGTTTGAAAGAGATGAAACATGCGGGGTATGTGATAGGGAGTGCTGCTATGGCTTATATGGTTCCAAGATACGGGATAACGTGGTAGACATCATCAAACCATCACGTCCATTCCCGTTGGTGTTCTACCTCTAAGACTCCTCTTTAGAGAATTGAAAATTGAACATTCTCGATTGAGAGTCATGCAGCAAAGCTACTGCTTCATATATGAAGTTTTCTGCTGATCTGCTTAACCGAAGTAAATGCTAGCAGAATTATTGAATAGGTACCTACCCATTCAGCCATTATACCCATTCTAATCCCGGGTTGTGAGTTGCCGGACTGCGAAAAATCGAGGCCAGGGGTTGAAGAAACCGGTGCAATGCCCCTGGCTGCTCTCGCTAATAAAAATACCTTGGTTTTGCTAGTGTCGCGATAGTTCGTGAGCTTAGCAAAAGGGCCCTAAATAACAAGCTTTTGGTATATTTCCCTATCCTAGTAGTGAATAGTGAGAATACTAGTAAGAATCGTGAGTTCTCGTTTCATATAGCGACCCGTTAGTTCTAGACTTTTCTAGCTTTAATATTGGCATTCCTTCGGGGGACATATCCGAGTAGTTGGGCTCAGTTTGTCAGTATTTGAGTGTTTGTTGTCTCGCACAATTCGGGGAATTTGTGTTGCATCAAGATGATGAAGATCGACTCCATCTATCGCACTAATAAATCGCAACTAAATCGGCTCAAACTCAAATGTGCGTGTAACATTACCTAATATATACAATATATTCATATATAATATAATATAATATCCGGTATATGCGAGAAGGAGCTCTGAGATTAATAAGACCCTCTTCTTTACGACATCTTTCGTTTATTTTTACCATCTTCTACTACTAGTCGCCCCTAGGGTCCAGAACAACCAACACGCAGAGTACTGCAACAACTAATATACGTACAAGGCGTACGTACATGACACATGCGGGTGCATGTCAAAGCACCGGATCCGCAAGGGCACTTTGCCTTGTTGATAAAGATGCATGAACTTCCTTAACGTCGGGTCTATTATTACAAGGCTCTGCATACGACGACATGGGTTTGAGGCTCGTAGTCTCATCATCCTCTTTCAGCTGCAGACTACAAGTCTCCGGATTCGCGTACCGTCACATTGGCTTTCGGCTCTCACCCGGGGTAGCACCGGACATCTGACGATCTTAGAACCCTCCAAGGTTCCCGTCTACACCCAGTGGTATTACCCTAATAGGCAGTACGCGATGGTGATGAGCGACTTGCTTCAGTATGTACACTACTCCTCCAGGGGTCTCTTATGATATGCTCATTCTCCAAGCCAGGGTTACCCCGAGGTGGCACGCATTATCTTCGACCTCATGTACTATGTAGCCTACCATACTACAATATGGGACAGAATACTACCTGTTCTAATGCTCCATAAGTCCCGTAGAGTGGTCTAGTCTGGCTAAGTGCGCATTATTCCCATCCCCACAAGGCCATCCCGTAGTGCTGGTCACATTTTACCATTTTATTCAATGGTACATACACTACATATTGGCCGGTCCTGTAAACGTCTCCTTCTATCTTGGTCTTTCTTTTAGTTTCTTCTCTTTTGTTCGTTTCCCTTCAGTTCTTCTCTTCTTGGCGCCTGGTAGATAGTATCTATCATGGCAGCTCAGGATCCAAACGCGCCGACAGACAGCAATGGCGGTGCTCTGGTGGCTACCGCCGTTGCTATGCTGACATTTACCTGGCTATCTGTTTCTCTAAGTCATTTGTCCGTGCTAAGTTAACCAACGGCTTCCAATGGGATGACTGGTTGATGCTTGCTGCTCAAGTAGGTTATATCTTCATTGTTTACTAGATTTCTTGGATTTGTGCTAAATCTGAACAGGCTAATTTCACTGTATCATGCGCGCTCATTCTTATGGGGGTTCGGGATGGGTTGGGGAGGCATGACGAATCGCTAGACCAGCACAACGAGATCGAGGCCTTGAAATATCAGGCGTTGGCTACGGCAACATATGTCCTTAACATGTGGCTGATCAAGCTCAGTATTGGTATCTTCCTGCTCCGCCTCGCTTCGCAAAACAGGTACAGGTATACTCTCTACGCGAGTATCATTATCGTCAGCATATGGAGCATAGTCTTGTTCTTTTGGAATATATTTCAGTGTAATCCGATCGCCGCTCAATGGGATTACACGATTCTTCAGAAGGACCCTAACGCTCGATGTGTCTCGGCCGACGAGATTGTCAACGCTGCTTACGCACTCAGTGTTATGAGTATCCTGTCTGACTGGCTATACGCATTGTTGCCGATTCCCATGCTATGGAGTGTTAAGATGACTACGCAAGCTAAAATGACGGTGATCGTGGTTTTGGGTTTGGGTGTTTTCGCAAGCATCGCTACGCTCGTCCGACTCAAGTTTCTGGCCGATCTCACTGACATGGCAGATATATTGCGTAAGTCTCCGACTTTCATTACGAATTCCTCATTTTTGAATATGAAACCTATGATGCATGTATGCTAACTGGTTATCTTCAATGTAGATGCTGGCACTGACGCGATGGTTTGGACATTAATTGAACCTGGAGTTGCTATTGTCGCCTCGAGTCTTGTTACGATTAGGCCCCTTCTTAGGTTATGGAAGATCAGGGGGTTCGGTGGCACCAGTGGGCAGAGTCGTCCAACGAATCCATTTAGCAATAGTCATCCGATGTCGCGTACGAATCGATCGAACAAGATGCCGGCATTTGGGTCTACCGATGTTACTCTCGTAGATATCGAAACCGGTCATTTGAAGAGCTCTACGTCGCGCTCACCAGTCGCTGGGTCGTTTGGTGGCAATATCCAGCGGTCTTTGTCGTTATCAGACGCCGGAAGCATGACGAGCAAGAGTTTCCAATCTCGAGCATCATCCGATGCCGCAATGCTTCCGAGCATACCTCGGCGCTCTCGATCGATCTCGGACGCCGATACATTGGCCGGCAGGAGCCATCGATCTCGACCGTCATACATGTCAAGAGTAAATGAGGCACCTATCGAGGAAGACGATGGACGGCAAGAATATGTGGAAAGTGGATCCAGAAGGATAAATATAAAGAGTGAGATGTATATCATCGAGGGTAACACGACACCGACACCTACGACACTTATGGCGCCCGTGGCAGCTTATAGTCGCGACGAGACATGGCTAGCAGAACAAGATTTGTCCAACGACGGATCCTTTGAACTCAACCGCGTTCAATCCCAAAACAACAGCATTAAAAACTCAATTCAGCTAACGAAGCCATTGCCGCTACCACCCTCATATCACCAAAGGTGAATTCACGCAATCGAATTCCAATAGAAACTACAACGTGCAAAGCCTTGAGACGATGGCTACGACACTCGCTATGAGAATACCTACAGCGTCGACTTGATTTTTCGCTCCCCTTTTCGATTCTTCTAGATGTGTAAATGGATATTATATCGGGACATACCCAAAAGGCTGAAATATAGGTTGGCTTAATGGCGGGGGCTGGGCCACTGGGAAACAAACTTGTAGAAATATTAAGAGGGTTCACGGGAGAAAAGGAAAGGAAGTTCCCTCGCTATCGAAGAGCAATCTTGGCTATGGGCTGGTTATTGTGTCTTGAATATCTTTACAAAAGAATATACAGGATATACGGGTAAGGCTATTATGCCGCCTTAGGGTTATATTATTATTATTATTATTATTAGGCGCTGGAGGGTTCGGGGCTAATTTGCCTGGAAGAGGCTTTTCTAGCTAGGTGACTATTGAGGTCTCGAGAGAGGCGAGGGTAATTGGCGTCCAAGAGGAAGACTAGACGACTTCTGGGGATATTTACAGTAGGGGATTTGTTACGTATATACGTAGCGAACGCAAACCTATTTACAATATATTACCGATTACTTTGATTGGGATTATATGAGATGACTGCCCATATCAAGGGGTAGCAGTATTTCCAAGTGCGGTCTTAATTGACGGGAACGTCATATAGCACGCTGATTCTATTATTAGCGACTGTATCTCAGTTCCGACTTTACGTTGGAATGAATAAGAATCCGATATTGGCTCTTTAACCGAATTACGGCGGCGTAGCCGGTATCGGCATGTCTGGATTAATGAGTAAAATTGCTATATATTTATTAATATTATTATCATGACGATGATATAGGTATAATATTCCCAGGTCAACGACATGGCTGCCTATGAGTGGAGAGTTAGTTGCTATAATATGAAATAATGAGCAGCTACCTAGGTTGTTGGTCCCCTTTTTCTTTTCTTCTGAGAGAAATATGTACCTAACCTAGGGACTCTTATATTCCTAACGACGTACAGTAGACTTTTTCTCGTTACTAGTTGGTGATATTTGGAAACATGCCTCATATCTTATGTCTTATAGTTTGGCGTTGGACGTTGGACGTGGGACGCGCGGAGCGTTAGAGAAACCCGGATCGTCGGTGATTCCAGGCTCACCCGCGACGGATGGTGAGGCTAGCGTTACATTGAACATAATTCTCCTAGTAAGAACTAGGGTAGGTAACTGACGGTTCAGGCACGAGGCCGCACGGATGAGTTCTCCCTACTGTGGAAGAGTCATATTCGGTTCGCGTATGTAGCTTATACGGTCCTTAAGAACTGGGTTCCGCTGTTATGACAGAAAGTGGCCGGGGTATCAAAACTAATGTTTCCTTTGCCTAGTCAACTAACCAGGCTGCCGGGTTTCTTTGCTAGCTAATTGAAGCCTAATACAAACTAGCCAAGAACGTCGATACGTTTAGTAGCCTTGAACTTCACACTGGCTGGCTATGAAATAATCCATAGCCTCCTCGAATGGGCTTAGCGAATAATCTACATAGTATATCCACAAAGCGCAGTCACTGCATCAAAAATCATTGACCTAGGCCATCGATGCCCTCGAGACTAGGATCCCAATCCTCCTCTTCGTCCCACACAGGTGCCAGTACGAACTTGTTAAGGATCTGGCCCATACCACAGGCGAACCCAGTGCTCGCCTCGGGGTTCTGCAGGTCGATGTTTTGCTCCATCATGATAGCCGACGTTAAAAAGTCGGTTTCCGTACCCATCCCTAAGCTCAGGATTGTTCCTCCCCAATCAAACTCCACCTTGCCGGATTTGCGCACGTGGAGCTTGCCGATGAGACCACCCTCCGGCGGGAGAGTTGCGAATGGATTGTACTCTTTCTCCTTCTCTTTGCCGTCTTCCGTCTTCACCTTGTTGGTAATAGCCAGGCCCGAATTCTCGAGAGGCGTAGGATCGGCGACTTCTGGCTCTTCACCGTTTGTACCATCCGTAGGCTTGACCAACGGTGGGAGAATAGGAGGCAGCTGGAAGAGGTACATCTGATCGTCCTTTTCCTGGCCCTGTGGTGCCTCATCGTCTTCTTTCACTTCATCTTTTTCGCCTTCTTTCTCGCCGCTAGGGGGTTCGTCAAATTTAAGCGTTTGCAACTGGGCGTCTAGGTCGTATATAGTTTGTAAGAGTTCGGGGTCCTTGGCCGCCTTCTCCTTTCGCTTTCTCTGTGCAATAGCGGCGCTGTCTTCGTCCACGACCGGTTTCTTCTTAAGTTCTGGTGAAGGAGGTGCTTTCACCTGGGCTGCCTCAGGAATATCGGCCATGTCGACGTCCATCGCCTCTGGCTCCGTGCCAGGTTCTGCTTTGACTTTGACTTGACTCTTTGGAGCAGCATGCCAGACTTCGCTATCGTCCTCCATGCCAATCTCGCGTAGATCCTTAGCTGCTTGAGTAACGAATAGTTCGTCATCGTCAGAGGATTGACGCTCTTCCGCTTCAAGCTCCGCCGTAGTCTTGACTTTAACTTCATCCTCTTCATGGTGGGTTCTAAGAAGACCGACTGGGAGATTTCCAGCCGATTTAGTGAAACGGGAAGGCTGATAGAGGGGGGTTCCTTCCTCGTCGTAACCCGTAGTCCCGTTCAGAAGGTCAACATTGACTCTATCTTCGTTCTCTCGTCTAGGCCGATATCTAAGCGCGTTGAACTGAGAAGTAAAACCACCTTTCGAGGAAGAAGCGCCGCCATTAGCTCCCCAACCCCATCCTCCCGCGCCCCCTTTCACATTCTCTATTTATAAGTTAATAAGTTGGTTATCCAATGGGGGTATCGTTGAGTTATCAGAAAATCGTACCTTGTGGTATCGCAGAAAATGGGCCAGAAGCGGTGACTGTTCTCCTGATAAATCCTCGCTGTGATGGATCACCCCTCCCTCGACCTCGTCTTGCCCTCCGGCCCTCTGCTCGCTGCTGCCGTTCCTCTTCTTTAATTTTGACGGCTAAGTCACGGTTTCTCTCTTGTTCTAACCTTGCTCGCTCTGCGGCGTCTCGCCGAATGTTCTTAGGCCTGAATCGACCACCGGCCCGTGAAGCCGCAGCACTAGGCGTCTGCGATTGTCTCACTGATGTGGTAGTTGATTGGTCATTTTGAAGGACAGACACCGGCGAGCTATCGATCGGAGTCCTTTCAGAAGGTGTGCTTATACCCATTACATCGTCGCTTTCTATAGAGTTTTGTGGTTGTGATGAACTCTCAGCGGGATATGATTCTGCATCGCCAAGTGAGGCGCTACTTGGGGTATCTGATGATGAATGACCGGCTCTGGCTGCTCCCCTTCCTCTTCCTCTCCCTCCTCTCGCACCGCGTGAACCACGAGGCGGCATTATTACTATCTCATGAGTGTTGAGAGTAGTAGTTCTGGATAACAAAATAATTAGGTGTATTTGAATCACTGATTTGAATGCAGGTTATTATATATGAACTCGACCTTTGATTTGACGCCTTTTGAATAAGACTGATTGGAAAAGTTTCTGGTGGGGCAAAGTTCTTGTAAGTGCAACTTCAGCTAAATTCAACTAAGACGGAAAGGAATCCTGGTGGGGCACGACCATACCTGAGAGGCTGAGTCATCCTAGATTTATGGAATAAAGCAGCAGCTGGCAGCTGGTAGCTGACAGTTGGCAACCACCTGATTTCTACTTTCCATATCACATGTGAAAAGAGGAAAAGTGAAATCGAAGGTATCACGCGTATAAAAGGAGGTAACGATTTAGGTTAGAGGTCATCTTATCTGTCTATATAATCGCGATTGAATGCAACTCGAACTGCTAGCGACGACATCAAATGCAAAAAAGCATGAAAAGATGAATGGATAAATGATACGGGGTATCATCGAACGCACATCAAGGCTTCTTCACCAAACTGCTGCTCGATGCTACCCTCTTGAAGGAGCATCGACCCTATCCAATTCCGTGCAGCTTCAACGGTTGCAGCACCGAATTTTACTACTATGCAACCGCGCACGTTGGCGGCTGACCACAGTATTTGTTTATCTTTCTCCTCCGCTAACCTGATAGTTCGCCAACGTTCGAGGGGAGATTGAGGTATTGCTTCGTCTTTCTCACGTGCTTCAGCGCTACGGAAATCTCGAGCCCCTAATCGTGGTAGTGCAGAAAACTCGGATAGAAAGAAATCACTAATAGATTTGGTCATAGGACCTCGGAGGATCAAAGTCCCCACGATGGCGTGTCCATACATCGACTCTTGAAGCGTGGGGGATCCAATCGGCCTATTTGCACCGTCTAAGATGATGGCATCTCGGACTAGAAGACGGTCCTTAGATGTTGCGGTATTGGAGGCGGACCAAACTTCGTTGCGTCCGATCCATCGACTAAGACTCCAGTTTTCACCCCGGGCCATACGACCTTGGGTAACCCAGTCTAGCAAGCATAGAGATGCGCCAGAAGTTAGCTTGAAAACCTGCGTCTGTTCGTATATGCTGCTTTTGAATGGCTGGACAGGATCTGGTAAGAGACAAAGTGCAGCCCCGTCTTTAATCTCGACGTTCAAATTCTGTCTTGTCACGATGTCTGGCGCAACGGACCGAAAAATCTTGGTGTGACCTTGCGTGACGATGCTGAGTCTCGCCCCCGGGTGTACGTCAATAGAGAGGTTAATTCGGTCACCGCCGACGAGTCCTCCACCATATGACAAGAGGAACACCAACACGGTACCCGTTTCGGTGGTAGACGCGGGAGATATAAGTTTCAGCGGGTACTGATAAGTGATACTCTCAATCGTCGAGACGTTGTTAGGTGATAGCTTGATGACTATTCGGCCCTCTCCAGGGAGGGATGACGACTTTGGAAACGGGGAGGTCATCCCGTAAGTAGATTAGGGTGGGAGGAAGATAAGTGTATGCAGTTCATTTCATATTAGTGAGAGAAAAAGGTTTGAGGATTTCAACCAGGAACTAATGATCGTCATTGAAGCTTATCTCGAGGCTCCGTACGAGATAAATTAAATCATTGGTGATATTAGCTTCAGTATACACGCTGGAGAGGTTAACTTTATATTAGATTGAAGGTGAAAAGACGAAGATAATTATGAAGGTAATAATTTAAGATAATACATTCTAGCAGGATATATGATTGTTAAGTTTTATGTTGACATGACTATCTTGTAGTAGACATTCTGATAATATTTATTACATGAGAAATCTATTAATGGGAACTGGTAGACGGAGGGGTACGATACGTAGGTACCTGGTCGACCCGGATAGAGTAAAGTACCTAACTGCATGTGGTTATTGGAGACTTATGCTAATACAAGATATAATGCGAATAAAGAAGATATGCTCCCCTTGCAGGTAGATACCTTAGGTACCTCTAATAATTCTTTAGAAGATGGAATCCGGCGACTTTCATTTTGGCGAATCCAAACACGCTCCCCACCATTAGACGCGCCTGAATTGCCAACGAATCTTCCCCCTAGCCCTAGTCAACATCTCCAGTAATCGCATTTATTTCATGGAGGGAACAGTCGCATCGCATTAACTTTCAATTCCACATGTCACCATCTAGATTGCCCCTAATGGAAACCGACGACAATAACGCGACCTCCTCTCCCGCGTCCGCCCCCGATAATTCGCGACGAAGATCGGGACGCGTTGTAAGAGCACCTCAGAAGTTCTCTCCAGAAGAAAACACATCACAGAACGACCATGCATCGTCTAAGCGAAAGAGAGGCCGCGATCGCGATGAGGAAGACGCTGAGAATGATACTCCCGCTGAGGATGACGGCGAGGAACTTAGCGACCCAGACGACCAAGACGACATTGAAGAAGAAGAAGAACAAGCTTCCAGATCAAAGAAGTCTAAGTCTAAACAAAAACCACGACCTAAAAAGCCGGCGGCGAAGCGCGCAAAGGTAAACGGTAGTGCGCCAATAGAGACCGGGTCTGCTCCCCTTGCGCCCGCGGTTCGGCTTCCAAATAGACCCAAGAAGACTGCAAGAGTCGTTATTGTTCATCCTGATGGAGATGGCCTTTATGGTAAGAGCTTGGCTTGATAATAGCACCCTTCAAGATTCAATTGGTTTGTACTAATAATCCTATTAGCTGACGTGTTTGGTTCTGGCGACTCTTCTGACGATGTCGCCGCAAACTGGTTTCAGCGCTACCAGCAAGACGACGCTAAAGCATTAGCGGAAGTTATTAACTGCGTTTTGCTTGCGGCAGGCTGTGAGCAACAGCTGACAGAAGACGATATTCGAGATCCTGATAATTCTGCAAACCGACTATCAGAATTAGAAGATGCTTATCAACAGGTGCGTTATTATTACTTAGCTATGGATAACGTTGTGCTCCTATGTCGTGCATAGGCTGATATGCTGCTTAATAGACAAGTATTTCGGACTATCCCCTTATCTCGAGGGCGAAGAGCAGTAAAAACTTTCGAGAACTCCTTATTGGGTTTTTCGAATCTTTAATTAGTGTCCTCCACCAGACTGATGTTCTTTACAACGACGAGGATTTATTGGACAATATCCAACGATGGGTCGGCATTATGTCGTCCTCTTCTCTACGCCCATTTAGACACACAGCAACGACAGTAGGGTTGGCAATACTCACTTCACTTATTGGGGTGACGGAACAACTTGACGAACGAATTACAAAGTCTAACCAGGCTCTACAAGCCGAGTCTAATCGCCGGGGTAAAAACAAGAATCTCATCGAGAACACGAAAAAGGCTCTTGATGCTGCAAATCAGAACCGCGAATTCATTGATAGCAAAGTTAAAGATCTTTTCGATATCGTCTTTGTGCACCGCTATCGCGACATCGACCCCAAAATTCGTGCCGAGTGTGTCGAAGCTCTCGGTACCTGGATTTGCACCCTTCCAACAGTCTATATGGCCCCCGAATACTTGAGATATTTAGGATGGCTGTTGTCAGATGTTTCTGTCTCTACTCGAATAGAAGTTCTCAAGCAGCTCGCAAGAGTCCTGAAACGAGATGCGGAGAAACTGGCCCATTTCATTGACAGATTCAGACCTCGCCTTGTTGAGATGGCCACGAAAGATTCCGATGTCTCTGTTCGCGTTACAGCAATTAGCGTCGTTGACATACTACGCGGGTCAGGTATGCTCGAACCTGAAGAAGTCGACTCCGTCAACAAACTACTCTTCGATTCCGAACCCAGGATACGTAAAGCTGTCGTCGGCTTCTTTTCGGCGCTGGTTCAAGAGCTCATCGAGAATAAAGTAGATGAAATTGGTGGTAACGACGCACTTGACGAAGTCTTCGGAGACGAAGATGAAGACGAATATGATTCACTTCGAAAGGATTGGATCAATATCAAAGCTCTTGCGGAGAATCTCGCTGTATACGACGCTCAACTGGATGAGGAGCAGGATGAAATACGGCACGGATTAGACGTAGCAGCGGATGTGGTAAACGCCAATATGCCAGACTCACGAATCGTACTGGCAGCTCAAGCGCTTTATGAGAAAATTCCTGAAGTTAGCAATTGGCAGATTCTTGCCGGCTATCTACTTTTTGACCACTCAACTAGCACAAAATCTAGGGCGAGCTCGAAAACTAACTCAATTGAGGCCGCCACAAAGAAAGCTGTCGCTCCCGAGCCACGGGAGGAGGCTATTCTGCTTGAGGTCCTTGCAGCAGCTGTAAGAGAGAGCCTTGCGCCGTCAGCAGAGCACGATAGGCATAAGAAGAGAGTCGGCAGGCTTGAGTTAGATGCGCAAGACGATGCTGGTATGAAGCTGGCCGCGCTCATACCTCGTCTCCTGAATAAGTTCGGGTCGGACCCTACGATGGCCGCCATCGTACTCCGATTAGAGCATTTTCTCGATCTGGAGGTATTCCAACAGTTGCGTCAAAATTCGGCAACGTATGATAAACTTCTTGACGAAATCGCCACTCAGTTCAATCGCCATGTTGACCAGGGGCTTCTTAACGAAGCAACAGCAGCATTCATCCACGCTAGACAATACGAAGAACTTGAAGAATTGACCGACAACAAGATAGCAGCACTCTGGGACAATGCCCTTAATTCGTTGCGGAGTGTAGATAAGATTTGTGAACTATCAGCTCGAGGCAATCTTGACCGGGCCACTCTTACTGAGCTCTCTCAAATCCTAATGAAGCTCAGCAAGTTGGTTAGCATTTCTGATTGCGTTGATGTCCTTGAAGCCCCGGGAACATCGACCGACTCCGACCGACCAGCTATCAAGGTCCTTATCAGTATCGTGCATCGTGGTCTATTAACAGAGTCAAACGAAGACTTGGATGATCCCGAGGATGAAGTAGTTGCTTTTGCCATAAAGGCATGTCAGTTTTACTTCATGTGGAAAGTGAGGAGATTACGAAGTGTTGTCGAAAGCGATGCAGATATTTCTGATGCCGAGGTTGATCAACTAGTACTTCTACGTAAAGATTTTGTCACGAACCTCATACAAACCTTCTCTTCTCGAGGATTTAACGATGATCTCCGTCTCTTCGCTGTCGGTACCGCTTGCGATCTATGCGGACTATTCGTTTTCCTACGACCTATAGTTGAAGACCCGCAAGTCTCCAAATACAGAAAGTTGCGCCCTCTCCTCGAAGAGATGCCCCCAGCCCTGATCACTCAGGAGATTATTCCCATATTCGATGCAGCAGAGCAAGCATACGCGAAACGAGCCAATAAGCAACTTAACGAACCTACAGACGACGAAGACCCCTTAGATGACGAACTACCACCTGAGGATGACGAGGACGAGGAGCTCACGGAACAAGAGCGTTTCGCGGCTGAGCTGAAAGCCGAGAAGATTCTGTGCGAGCTAACTGGTAAACTCGTCCTTGCCATCTTAGCCAAGACTATCGACCATACTGGGCCAGACGCTGGCAAGCTACGGAAGCGGCTGAACCGTAACAAGACGAGGCTAGGTAACAACTACAAGGATGTCGTCGCTTATTTAGACGAGGACCACCTTCGCGAACTAAGAGGCGGAAAGAAGAAGTCCGCGGCTAAGGCTAAAGGCAAGGAGCCTGCGAAGAAGCCTGCGCTCAGCGCGGAGCTGGTAATCGAGGATGATGACGATGATCATATAAGATTAGAAGACCCATTCGAGGAGGAACCCGAGCCCGAAGAGGGCACAGTGGAGGATCTCAGACGAAGGGAACTTCTTGACGATCCCATCGAGGACGACTCGGAAGAGGAAAGACCAGCGGCCGGAGAGCCGATGGAAGACGAAGAGGTAATCGGGGATTAATGAGCTGGCAGACAGGAATGACTTACTACTTCTATTACTACTACACTACACCCATGTATGTACTTACGGCTTTGAACGGGATGGCATGAATGAACAGAACAGGTACGCCTCTAGAGCGGCACGATGTTTTTCACTGCATGGGAGACAGCGGAACGCTGCTGCGAGCATTCTTGATGGTGATTAACCGTGTCGGCTGGTGGCTGGCTACAAGGGTAATTGCACGGAGTCGGAGTCGGAGTCGGAGTCGGAGTTGAGGGACGATGCGATTCCTCGGTGGGTGGCTGGTCTTGTCTTGTTAGATGTGTATTAATACATACTTGAATTCAACTCTTGCTTTGGTATACGTCGTGTTGGGGACTGAGGGTTAAAGGACGTGTTAGTGGATGTAGATGTAGATGTTACTGGTGAGTAAATACGTAAGTCTATTAGTTTTGAGCAGTGAAGCACCGAAAGTCTTAAGCCTATTTTATAGTATAATAGTAGAAGGGTGTATCGTTACAGGAAGGTCTGGGTAAGCGTGATATTTAATAATTCAATTATTTCATTTTTAATTCCCCATGCGCATTCACGAGCTAATCTTAGTTCCGAACATGCCAAATACTCTTTCCCAGCGCTTTCCCTTGCCGGCATTTGCCTTTCTGGGATCACTCTCGGGGAGCTTAACGCCATATTGGCGGATACAGCATGTGAACGGCTTGTTGGACACCATGGAGTCTTCCTGGACGGCGTTTTGAGCCGGATGGCTGCTTGGTGGTCTGGGGGGCGTGCTATCTGGTGGTTGTTGAGCCGCAACTCGTTGCTGGTTCTTTTGCAGATTTTGCAGCTCTTGTTGCTTGCACTCTTCTAGATTGCCCCAGAGCTTGAACAGCTGCTCTCGCAAATTACCTAGATCGTCGGGATTTGCTCGAAGACTAGGTAGCTACGT